GTGTGGTTTTCTGAAAAATCTTCACCGCGATCGTGAAGGGGGCGAGGGGCCGTTTGGAAACGGGACAGGGTCACCCGAGAGAGGCGGCGGAGCCCGGCACCGGCCATCTGGATGGGCTCTTTGATCCGGGGTATATGCTCTTTCGAAGCAGTCTGGTTCTGTGTGTGTGTGAGTGAGAGAGAGAGAGAGAGGGGGAGGGGGACCTGCTTGTTTTCTGGCTTCTCACCTTTGGCCCGAGTCCCTGCTAGAGGGTTTGATTCTTTCCTGTGTTAGTTCTTTTCTTTCTTTGTGGTGTTCATGTCATTCATTCCTTTGATCAAAGACGTCCATGACAATGCCATTGAAAGTGCAACAAAATCAGCTACACCAGACTAACATGGCTACATTTCTATCACTATTGAAAGTGCAGACATTCTTGTTTTTGTTTTATTTGGTTTGTCTAAAAAGTCCCTGTCTAAAGGTCACTGCTTGCAGATTTACAGGGACAGTTCTGCAGATCACCAGTAACAGACAGTGCTGTCTGGAGTGCTGTGAAAAAAAATTTATTGTGGAAAGAGAAAATGCTTGATTTAGATGTTTATGTAGCAACTTTAAAAGTATGGCAACCAAATTGTTAGATTATAATTAAGAGCTCTCTTATCTCTCTCTCTTTACACCTTGATCCGTCTTATATTTTTGTTACTGTATGTTGAGGCAAACTATTCATGGCTATGATTTTTGTTTTCTGGATGCAGATAGAGGCTTTGACCTCACCTTCAGGACTGCTGATGACCCTGGCTTGTCTCTCATAAAATATGGAGAATTTCTGTATGACAACTTGATCATTTTCTCCCCTTCTGTAGAAGGTACGGTATCCTTTTGCATAAAGGAAAAGGCTCAGAAATTAAGTTATGCAATATTTTGAGACTCTTGGATAAAACATGCTAGTAGATCTGTAACGTGCCCTGCAGATATTAGCTAAACCTTACAACACCCCCTTGATATGGGTCTTTTGCTGTTTTAGATCCCCAGATGGGGAGGAGGCAAGAGGCTTACTCAGGGTGAAACAGTGAGTTGTGGTGGAGCTAGACTTTGTCCTAACTCCCTAGTCTCTTGCTGTAACCATGTGAATACTTTTCTTAGGCTTGAAGTAGTCTTCTGACTTCCTTCATTTTGTCCTTGAAGATGATTTTTGGGGTCTGTCCCTGAGATGTAGACTGGCAGGTGTTATCTTCACTCGTCATTAGGCAAACTGTAGTAGGAGCAGTATTTTAAGGTCCTCAGGCCCCTTCTAAAAGGGAGGAAAAGGCCTGTAAAAGAAACAATTAGCACAAAAATATAGTTGATTACTATGGACCTGCAATAACAGCCACTGTTGGATATCTATTTTCTGTAAACTCCTTTCTTAACCATTGTTTGCTATGATCGTAACCATCAATGGCTGTTAATAAGTCTCTTAGAAGTTTTTTCCCATCTTTATACTTTCTGCTGTAAGGGAATCCAGATCTTTTTAGAAGAGGCAGTGTCAAACTAAGTGTCAGCCTGAAACTCATTGTGTCACTTTATAATCCCCATGTTGTGTTTAAAATTGTGGTATTGTGATTAAGTATAAAGTATTTATTGAATAGGTATTTTGGAGCAGTGCTTCCATAGATTAACAGATGTACTGTTCTATAACTAAAAGATGGAATAACACTAATTAAGTGTGGAGTAGTAGTGATTGTTTTCATTCATACCAAAATGTACTACAGAGAGAATCCAGATCATTAACAGCCTGAATCAATCTTGATGAGGGATCGTTAGTGAAGTGTTGTTTTTCAAAAAGGTCACTACTAAAGTGAAAAAAATCAGGTTATATTAGTGTAAAAAGAGAGCCAAGGAAGACCTTTTAAAAAGAACTCTTGTCACTTAGCAAGAGCAGAGAGCTAACTGATTATGTGAAGGAGACTCGATAGCATAATATGTAGCCCTGGGTTATAGCACACTTAACTTCAGATGAACCTCAGAGAATGCACTGGGTAACTTAATTTTGAACATTACAACTAGGACGGGGATGTTGGAATCAGATCCTTAAGAGGATCTGTATGTAGGAACCCTTTTAAAACTACTTCAGAGCTAAATTTCATTGTCTTCCTCGTGTTACCTGTTCTTAACCTCTGAGTTCCTCCACTTCTGTCCTCCTTTCACTGTCCTGTTTTTCTCTCTACTATACCTTAACTAAGGTAATGAGTAAAGTGTTGGTTGCATGCCTTTCATCTTGCAGATATGTATGTTTCTCTAAATTCATTTGCTTTCTCTTTATATATTGGTTATTGTTGTTATCCTGAAGTTTAACTTTGATTTTATTAAAGAATGGAATGAGTGAGGCACTCCTTATAATTTCCCAGGAATGCTTGCACTGAAACCAACTGTAATTCATTTCCTATTTGAAGGAATTATGTAGAATTTCTGCAAACTGATTTATAAGAATTTGTATGTTGGGGTGAAGTGAGGAAGAAACAAATCAACTACAGGTAACCAAAAGAAAAGTATGCTTTACAGTGTGCTCAGAAAATAATAAAACCCTTAACAAAATTCATGTGGTTATTTCTTTGCAACTGAGATTCAATGGCTAGTTCAATGTCTTTACAGGGCAGGATTTGGGATTTTTTTTCCCTTGTGTTCTTTCTGAAAGACTCTCTTCCTTCCTCCTTTAATGCAGCTCTTTAATTTATGATGGCCCTAGGTGTACAAGACCTTCAGGATCCTGCTTGAGGTTGAGGCCAAGTCATTTCCTGTGCCTATTGCATTGGCATAATTTCTCTATAAATAGGCCCCTTCATGAAAAATGTATCATGGTCTGGGAAGTCTGATCTTGTGTTGCTTTACCCTATGCTATAGAGATTTTATGGCAAGGCGAGGAAGGGGGAGATCAGCATTTCCCAAACTGGGGCACTGACTCAAAAGGGAGTTGTGGGAGGTGAGTTGTAAGGTTATTTTAGGAGGGCACAGTATGCCCTCCTGTGCTGACTTCAGCTATTAGCCAGCTGCCCAGCTCTGAAGGCAGTGCCCTGGTAGCACTACTGCAAATCCCCTTACAATAATCTTGCACACAACCCTTACTTGGGTGAGGACCTCTACAATTACAACACAGTGAAATTTCAGATTTTAATAGCTGAAATCCTGAAACTTATGACTTTTAAAATCCAATAACTAAGAAATTGACCAAAATGAACCATGAATTTGGTAGGACCCTATCTATAAATCTGCTTCCCCATCCTTCTTCCCTCTCCTCCTTTGCTCCAAAGCACTGGTAAAAGAGTTTACTGAATCATGGATATCTGGTCTTTTCAGATTTTGGCGGAAACATCAATGTGGAGACAATTACTGCTTTCATCGATGGAGGTGGAAGTGTCCTTGTGGCTGCCAGTTCTGACATTGGTCAGTAAAAACTGCATGCCAAACAAAGGGGTGTGAATGATGTCTTTTTCATTTTGTAGCTGCATAGCAGGAGTTTGCTGGATCTGGAGAGCCCTGCAGAGAAAAAGTCTTTGGAGTTGTTAAAACTGGTTAAATGATGGCACTTATCCAGTTCACCATTCTAACCTAGGTGCTGCGGCCATAGGGGCCTGCCACCCGGCCCAGCTGCCATGCGTTAACTGACAAGGGCCAGTCAGCCATTTAACATCTCTAGTTAGAACTCTGGCTGCAACCTTTTTTTAAAGAGAATTTCAAAAATTAAAATTATACAACACTCTGTGCACTAGAACCAGCCCACACACCTACACCCTCACTATAGTGAGGGATTTGGTATTAAAGAAAAAGAGAGCCTTAGTTTTACTTCTCAGAGAAAGCTGAGTTTAGCTAAGAGGTTAACTCAGTAGCGTGGGTAGCAGGACATTAGCATATAGGGCAGCTCTTCATTTTTATTTTGATTTCATTGCTTTTGTCTTCTACATACTGTGAATTGGGAATCTGCTGCTCTGTCCTTTTTAGGTGATCCTCTGCGAGAGCTGGGCAGTGAGTGTGGGATAGAGTTTGATGAAGACCGAACAGCAGTCATTGACCATCACAACTATGACGTCTCAGACCCAGGCCAGGTGAGTCAGGAACATGCCCGAGAACCTTTTTTTCTTTGGGGGCGGACATTGACCATGAAAAAATCAGTCCCAAACCACATGTAGCCCTGATGGCAGTAGGAGTAATGGAGGCTCAAGGCACTCTGCTGCGAAGTGGCAAGCCAGCACTCCAGCCCCGCAGGTGGGTGCAGAGGCCTGGGATGGGACCAGATATGCGGGATGTAGGAAGGAGCTCTGGGTTGGTGTAGGTTTGCAGGAGGGGGTGAGGGCTCTGAGGGAGTTGGTGGTACGGGAGAGTTCTGGGGGATCTGACTGGATGGCATTTACCTGGGCAATTCCTGATTAGCCGCGCAGCAGGGCTAACGCAGGCTCCCTGCCTGCCATGGCTCCATTCTGATCCTGGAAGCAGCCTGCATATCTGCCTTAGGCAGAGGCTCAGCAAGGTAGTTCTGTGCAGTGCCCACTGCCCATGCCACATGTGCAGCTCCTATTGGACACAGTTCCTATACAGAGGGACGTCCCTGATCTCCTCTGCACCCAGGGGCCACATCAGGGCTGTTCCCCATGCCGACACTTCCAAGTGCAGAAGCTGGGGGGCTCACAAAGACTTTAAATATTTTGCCTCTATAGGTTCTGCTTACCAAAAATTCCCCAGAGTCACAGATTTACGGACTTTGGAGGGTAGCTGCTACCATTAAGTGAGAGACCCTAAAAACAAGGGGGAACACTTGAATGCCCTGCCCCCCACCTCCACCCCGGTGTATGCCAAGCTCCTTTACCACAAAGAGCTTGACAACAAAGTGGAGTCTCTGGTAGCTGATCTCTTGTTCGGTCTGTGTGTCTGCATGCTTCAGACTTCCTGTACTTTCCAGGACACACAAATCAAAGCAACTTAGTGTTTTGGTTTTTTTTAATTAACAAAACAAAAGATATATTTGATAAAGCATACTTAATTGCTAGGTGTTACAGAGCAACTAAGTAAAACAAATTACAGTAGACGTGAGATAATCCAGCTTCTTTGGGACCTATGTGGTGCCAGATTATCAAATATGCCGGAGTATCGGGAGGTCCTGGTACAGCTGCACGGCTTAACACAATCTCCCTCCCTCTCCCCTCCTCTTTCCTCTTTGCTTCTACTCCCTGCTGTAACCTGATCCTCCACTCTCCTTTCTTCTTCCCTTCTCCTTCTCCTTCTCCTCTCCCCTTTGCTGAAGCAAAATGCTCTCCTCCATACTGTAACATGATCCCACTCTTCTCTCCCCCCCCCCCCCACCCAGCTGGCACGTGTACTGAGCGACCGGCTTTTTAATCAGCTGGACAGGAGCTCTTGACATTTTGATGCTGGAGTATTGGGAGTGTCGAATAATTGGGTTCCAGACTATTAGAGTTTTACTGTAAAACACAGAAAATCTCTAGGAACATCTCATTAAAATTAAATGCAAATTAACTATTTTATGCAAAGTTTATTGCAAACGGCAAACGACATAACACCAACTATACATGTTGGGCTCGTCTACACTGGCCCCTTTTCCGGAAGGGGCATGTAAATTTCACCTATCGTAGTAGGGAAATCCGCGGGGGATATTTAAAGTAGGAATAAGAGCCTCCGGAAAAGGGCACTTTTTCCGGAGGATCGGGGCCAGTGTAGACGCTCTTTTCCGGCTTTTTTAAAAGCCGGAAAAAAGCAGCGGACATTTTTATTTAAATGCCGCGGGGGATATTTAAATCCCCCGCGGATTTCCCTACTACGATAGGTGAAATTTACATGCCCCTTCCGGAAAAGGGGCCAGTGTAGACGAGCCCAACATGTATAGTTGGTGTTATGTCGTTTGCCGTTTGCAATAAACTTTGCATAAAATAGTTAATTTGCATTTAATTTTAATGGTTCAAAGAATGTCAGGCAAAATGGTCGGCCCTCACACATGTTCACTTCATCAAATCTGGCCCTCTCTGAAAAAAGTTTGGACACCCCTGTCTTAGATGGTGACTGAGGAGGGGAGGCATGGATCTCACAGAGCAGTTGAAACCAAACCACCAAAATAAAGAAGAATATCCTGATCCACGACTGCATACACTTTTTCCCTTTATTTACTCAGCTCCCTTCCTGGTTTAGTCCACTTCCATGCCCCGAGTCCTGCCTGGGTTTAAATCATTGTGTGTGTGTCAACTCCTGGTTTAACTTTTCCCACACAAAGGAAATAGGCAAAGTATCTTATACAATTCAAATTTCAGCACTCAGTCCCCATTGGTGCTTCTGGCTCCCTGCCAGCAACCTAGCTAGCAACCTGAGTTTACCCTTAGTCACTGGCTGCTGGCCAGCATTCTCCTTCTATCTGTCACAGGCCACATGGGCATTTCAGCCTATGGTTTGGATTGGAGACTTGTGGCAGGCCAGACCCAGTCTACGAGCCAGAGGTTCCCCACTCCTGATGTCCAGGGCTCAAGGAAACTCATCTTAGCTAGTACATAGCTAGAATATTTGTAGCATTTGGCTGTATGGAGCCAAACCTTCTGTCTTTTCCTCTTTACACACCTTTTAATCTCTACCTGGGCAACTTCTAACATTCCAATCATACTGAGCAGTTAAGAACAGCACCTGGAATAGTAAAGGGTTCAGTGAACCTTGAACCACTTGGGGTATGTCTACTCTGCAGGCTAAAGTCAAGTTAAGATACGCAACTTCAGCTGTGTTAATTGCGTAGCTGAAGTCCAAGTACCTTAACTCGGCTGTAGGTACTGACTACACGGCAAGAAGTCACAGGAAAAACACTCTTCCTTCCAATTCCCTTACTCCTCATGAAATGAAGGTTACGGAAGTGGGAGTAAGAAGCCCCTTATTTTGTGTAAACGCGCACTCTGTTGTTTTGAAATAAGCATGCAGTGTAGATATAGCCTTGGATAGGAATTCTCCCTTCCTAGTGACCTATGGAGCGTCCTTTTATTTGTGATGGGTCAGGAGATAGAATGTCATGCTTAATAGCCAGACCGATAAAAAGGTAATGCCAAGGCACCTGTACAAGGAGATCAGTATAGAAAATACTGTAGACATTTCTCAGATGTCTTGATTTTTCTGTCCTTGCATGGTTCTGAAATATCTGTCTTTACAGAAGAAATACAAGACATTCCAATAATGTTTGAGAGTTAAGAACATTTTTAACATAGCTTTTTTTTTTAAGCGTGTGGGAGGGGTATACAATGGATGAAGGAATTGCCATTGCTTTGAGTTGGGACAACTGTGTATCCAGAAGAGAGAATTCTTCTGAAAGACTAATTTTACCTGAGTTACATCAGCATTTCAGCTCCTAACCCACTTCATGTCACCGTTTAATTTCATAACCGGCTGTTCCTAACAGCAGATTGCCAAGCTGTAAGCTTAATAAATCTGTTCCTTACTTAAGACCACCTTGTGGTCTAGAGAAGACCCTTGTAGGCCAAGAAGAACCGAACTGCTGTAGCATGGACTGTAAGTGTCATAGACGAAGGCTTTAGGCAGCTGCTGTCTCTCCAGTATCTTCTGGCACTTTGGAACGCAGATTCTTCCATCCTATACTTTCTCAACAAACTTTTTCTGGTGTTTTTGCAGTCTCTTCCACATTGTTCTCGTAGCTTCTGACAAGCAATCCGAAAAAGTAGGAACTGATAATACGTTACTGCAAGAAATCTGTTGCCCTGGGGTTTACCTTTGTTCTGATTTTAAGTTTCCTAATGTGCAACTCACAGAAAATTTGCTCTAAATTATGGCCAGCAGGGGCTGTTGACTTTTCTCTGAGGGCTTCTGAGTCTGGTTACTGATTCTGCCTCCTCCATCCCTTGCTACAACTCTTCCTGCGTAGAATCCTAGAGCTGGAAAAGACCTCAGGAGGTCATCAAGTCCATCCCCCTGCCCGAGGCAGGATCAATCCCCACTAAGGTGGAACCCCAGGTGAAACTCCAGAGTCATTTAGTGCTACTTTGAAGTGCTGGAAGGGCAACTCTTGAATATCAACTGCTTTGTGAGTGACAAGTGGGCACACATCTTAACAAGATGCCTGTGCACTAATGGTCCAGTAGCTTGTGAAAGCTTAACACAGGTCTCTTATGTTTCCTCCCCGAAGCACACGCTCATTGTTGCAGACTCTGAAAATCTGTTGAAGGCTCCCACCATTGTTGGGAGAACTCCGGTAAACCCTGTTCTCTTCTGCGGAGTCGGGTAAGTGAATTGTGAGGCAAGGCTGGCAATGGGGCTGGAACTGGAACAAGAGCTCCGTGGTTGAATGGGTTTCTTGCCACCATCTTCCATCCAGATAAGTAATAACCCTAGGGCTGAAGAATGCATGATTATAAACTAAGTATCATAGATTTGTTTGGCTTTTTTGGCCCTCAGTTGAGTTGCAATAGGCATTTGGTCCTTTTTTAACACGATGGCATGGAGGGGGTGGGTGAGAGAGAGAGAGGCACAGGTGTGTGTGTGTGCGCGTGCGCGCTAGCGAGCAGCCCAGTGTCTGAGAATCTGTAACGCCGAAATGCTGGCTGTTCCCTCTGGGAGGCACTATTGCCTGAAATGCTGGCTGTTCCCTCTGGGTGGCCCGTGCTGTATGGGGAGTGTGAGGCCCAAACGGCCGCTTGCGACGGTTGCTCCACCTCAGCGGTCTGGCTGAGCGGTGCAGAGGTCAGCTGAGTGCCATGGTGGGAGGCGAAGGGGGGCGGGGCGGTGACGTACATGGCCAGGCTCTGCCCCCCTTTGCCTCCCGCTGTGGCGCTCAGCTGACTTCTGCGCCACTCAGCTGGGCCGCTGCAGGGAAGCCCAAACGGCCGCTTGCTCCCCCGTGGCAGCCCCGCTTAGTGGCGCAGAAGTCAGCCAAGCGCCACAACGAGAAGTGAAGGGGGGTGGGGTGGTGACGTGCGGCGTGACAGCGGCTCCAGGCCCTGCCCCTTGGCCATGAACATCACCTCCCTGCCTCCCGCAGTGGGGCTTGGCTGAATTCTGCGCCTCTCAGGCCGCCGCGTGAGAGCAAGTGGCTCAAGCGACCATTTGGGCTCCGTGCTTCCCATGCAGCATGGGGAGTGTGGTGCCCAAACGGCTGTTTGGGCTCCGTAGTCCCCCCAAATGAGAGGCAGGAGGGGGAGGAGAAGAGGCAGGAGGCGAGCTGAGGAGAGAGAGACAGGGAACGAGAGACCAGAGGCTCAGGAGAGAAGACGGACCTGGAAGAGACCTGAAAAGCCTGTCTCACGACCGGCTAATTGGCTAGTATAGTCATGTTTGTTTAAACTGTTCTATTGGACTTTAAAGCATAGAAACACTTCAAGTTTTGTAAAATTGTGTTCTTAAACGTCCATCTCCGATGTGATGGCACTTTAAATATCTGAATAGTTATGCTATTTTAAAGTCAACTGTTGATACAAAATTAACATTTTACCTTTTTGAATTCAATGTGTTTTTGCCACTAACTTCAGGGAGAGATGAGTCAGTCCTATGGTTCTCAACTTCTGTGAATTTCATATTTGTTAGACTTTAGTGTGAATTAAATTCAACTTAGTCTCCTTGGGCAGGTACCTTCAGGTGTGACCAGCTTTGGGTGTCTTCCTTGTACTTTAACAAGAGACAGGACTGTGTAGCACTTTAAAGACTAACAAGATGGTTTATTAGGTGATGAGCTTTCGTGGGTCAGATCCACTTCCTCGAATCAATTTGTGGAAGAAAACTGGCACAACCATATATACCAAAGCTTCTCATAACATAAGGTCATGCATATTGCTTCAAAGAGACTTTAACTCCATACTTCGAGAAGCTTCAGAATTGTCATTCATGCTTAAATTTGACACTTTATGTATGGGTCTAAACAAAGACCCTAATTATCTCACCCATTACAAAGATAGCTTCCCCAATTATCACCCCTAATGTCATTACCTCACAGACACTACCTTCCCCCCTCACCCCCACTCTGTTCTAAAATTTGATTTGTCAATTTCACATGCATTCATTTTTTTGACTGTATCACTTTGGTATATATGGTTGTGCCAGTTTTCTTCCACAAATTGATCTGAGGAAGTGGGTCTGGCCCACGAAAGCTCATCACCTAATAAACCATCTTGTTAGTCTTTAAAGTGCTACACAGTCCTGTCTCTTGTTTCAGCTACACCAGATTAACACGGCTGCATCTCTATCACTATTCCTTGTATTTGATTCTCTTTCTCTCACCACAGGATGGTAGCTGATCCTGATAACCCTCTGGTACTAGATATCTTGACTGGCTCCTCTACATCTTATTCCTTCTTCCCAGATAAACCCATTTCGCAGGTATGCTAAATTTTCTTTGTCCTTATTTTTTTTAAATCTTGTGGAATTAATTGCTGCTTGGCAGTTTAAGAATGGATCAAGAGACTTAAAACAATTATCTTTTTATAATCTGTGCCAAATCCTTATGGCTTTTTTTTTTTAAAGCTTCGGTTCATATTCTTAGTACTATATATTTTTTAATATAGAAATCTATCTTCCCTGTAGTTTGTAGGTAGGAGAGGATTGTCCTTTCTCCCAAGACCTGTGAGAGCGAGGGATTGTTTTCCAGGATAGGTTGTAGATTCAGTGATGTGCTAGAGGGATTTAAGCTGAGAGGCTGTAGGTGATGACTAGCGGCGTTCTGTTGTTGGGCCTGTCTTGAAAAAGCAGATTCCTGGGTACTTGTCTGGCTCTGTCAGTCTGTTTCTTCACTTCCTCAGGTGGGTATTTAAGTTTTAAGATTCATAATACTGTATATATGTTTGTTAGTGTCTAAGGTGCCACAGGACCACTTGTCATTTTTTCAGTCTTGAGAGGCTGTAGGTGATGACTAGCGGCGTTCTGTTGTTGGGCCTGTCTTGAAAAAGCAGATTCCTGGGTACTTGTCTGGCTCTGTCAGTCTGTTTCTTCACTTCCTCAGGTGGGTATTTAAGTTTTAAGATTCATAATACTGTATATATGTTTGTTAGTGTCTAAGGTGCCACAGGACCACTTGTCATTTTTTCAGTCT